TTCTCACTGCTGAACAACAGAAAACTGACCATGATCACCTTGAGTACACCTCAGGTGTTTTATCCAGTGTTAAATGCTAATAATGTGAGTTTGAATGCCATTTCACATGACATTTATTGCCATACTACTGAAAGCAGCAGCAGATAGTTCACCTCAGATCTGGCAAATAAAATAAACCGTCTGAAATTGAACTTTAGATCTGTGACAAACCAACACATATTCAGCATCTACATTTATTACTATTAACGAGGTTTAATATGTATTAATTAGATTAGAAATCTTACCATTTCGTTGGAGTGCACTACTATTCTGTGCTTTTGAATGGCTGTATTTCAATTTCTGTCGTGTTTTGTCTGGTGCAAACAGCCAAATTGCTCATCACTGCAAATCTCATCACGCATCGTGTTGTTTGGACACAGGGTTACAATGTAACCTGCTCACCTAATGTTTACATTCAGAATATTTATATTATTTTCTAATTAATAACCACCTTATGTGGAACTCTGAATCTGCGTCTCATTTCGGAGTCTGCTACTGTCCACCGGAGGTCGCATTTCGGACACAAATGCAAGCTTTCAGAGCCTTTCTGATTGATTGAATGAAATACGCTGTTTTCAAGGCAACCCGAGTTGCTTAAATGTTATTGGCTAAACTGGCATAGGGTGGGTTAAATGACCAATACAAAGACAGACATTCCAGCATGTAATGCACATTTTCATTGCAGAATATCTGACTTCAGCATAGTATTTTCAGATAAACAAGAATGTTCACTTGGCATGTTTCTTACATTTTTGCAAACATATTATGGTATTTTATGCTTTAGAAGAGTCGAAAACTTACATACAGCACCTTTAACAAGACTTGATATCCTTTTTTAGTATCTCGATTTAAGAATGATCATTGAATATATTTTTACCAGACAAGAAGACTAAATAAGGAATTAATTTTTACAGTGTTAATGTAGTTCATGTTTTATTGCATTATATTGAGCATAATACTTTTAATGCGTTCCTATAATGCTACAAAATATCCGAACGCCATGCAAGCTTGTAGCAACACAAGATTTTGAACTGTTTCTTTAAAAAGAAAGAAGTCATTTGCCGTAAGCTAAACCCAACACACTCCATAATCAGTTTAATTCTAGTAACTCAGTACAGTGTAACATTTCAGCTTAGTCACAATACCGTGCTTAGCCTCAATAGAAATCAATTGAAACTTTACATTTGCCTTTGGCCATTGAGCTCTTTTCTTCCTATGAAGGATTTGGACGTCAGCCAGAACTCAAGTCACTTGCACTTTTTCCTTCAGGGAAAAAAAACAGTCATTTGCGGTTTGCTGCTGGTGTTCTGGACCACAGCCAGAGGATTTTGAAAACTTTTACATTTTTGGAGACATGTTCTCGTTTATCTTCCTAAGAGCCCATTGCATGTGAAGGACAGGTGCGTTTAGATGCATCTCAGCTCTTATCAGACTATTAATGATACGTCTGATTGCTTTGTTGCCTAAAGAACGGAAAACATGCATGCTTGCCAATGCATTTATGGCTTTTCATGCATGAAATGCACAGAAGATGCGTAGTTTGAACTCAGATGATGATGATTACTGTTATTTTTTTAAGAATAATGAAATAATTAAACAAATAAATGACTCAAATAAAAATATGGGAAAGATGAAGTGCTCAAAACAGGATGAAAGCTATCATACTTTCCCATACAGCATTCTGAGATGCCTTCGATCATTATAATGAAAGGGAAATGCATGCAATGCTGCTTTTCTTTTAGAGTCTGCTCCAAAATATATAATTTTAATTATTATTATATTTAGGTTTTTAATAGTCACAATTAGGGCTGCACATTATATTGTTTCAGCATCACAATGTGATCATTCGCATTAATCACATCATACGATCCACAATGTCAAGTTCAGCTTCAGTTTATTCATCCCTCAGGAAATTTGAGTGGAATTATAGCTAACCAGGAACCATATTGCTGAGTGATTGTGAAGTTTAACCTTTATACAGTGAAAGTGCCTGTTTGATTTGTTTTTAAGGCCTTTAAATAATTTGTGACAATGACTACGTTTACATGGACCCCATTAGTTCGATTTTAATGCGATTAAGACAATACTCTGATTAAGAATCCAACATGTAAACAAAAGTTTAATCAGATTAAGGTCATAATCGAACTAAAGAGAAATCGAATTAAGACGTGTGGAGTATGCCGATTTTAGTCCCATTATTGAAGTGCATTACAGACATGTAAACACCTTAATCAAATTATTACCGTCATGTTGGGCCTTTCGCCACATTTTACGACAGGATAGTCACACACACACACACACACGGGTGTTTGACACTCTTTCCACCTACTGAGTCAGTGCAGAACACAGACACCTGCCTCGTAAAATGTGGAATTTTTTTTTCTTCCATTCAGCCTGCGGTATGAACTTCCATTTAACAGTCCTCCAGCAATTCACAGTTGCATCCAATATCTCGTTTGTCACGGGGGGCATGACCAAATAAAAGTGAAAGTGCCAAACCGCAGTTAAAGTTGACAAATAAATAATGAAACACGCAAAATTACATGAAACTCCGAAGGAAATGCGAATAGCGTGGTGACGCAATGACGTTTATCTAAGTATGTGCTATAACATGTAAAACGGGATCATGAAAGAAACATTCAAAAAGCACCTCATGTAAATGCCTTAATCTTATTATTGTCTTAATTAGATTAAGGCAAATAATTTGATTACTGATGTCCATGTAAATGTAGTCAGTGAAAATGTATTGAGTTTAACTTAAATACAATAAAGACTATGCAGTTTTTTTGCTTGAATTTGATTATTCAATGCATACTCGAATACATTTATGCAGATTGTCTGGCCTATGAAATCATCCTAATCAATATATGAGTTCTTTCCAAATTGAGCTATTCAAGTCATCCGGTGAAATGATTATATTCACATCACAATAAATATTGCAGAAACACAAAATCTCGCTATGTCAGATTTTTCCAGTATCGTGCAGCCCTAGTCACAATGTATGTGCATCCACTATTCCTTTTTTTAACCGCTTAAGCATCGAGCAAACTAACTTTCTAATGGGCTATATGCACAGCTAGCGTTTTTCAGAAAATGATGAACTTCCGGTGATTATTTTCAATGTTATAAGGTTTATTTCACAGTATCTATGTTGTAATTTCATTCAAATATATTCAGTTACGTAGACCTAAGCAACTATTTGGTTGTTTAAACATAAAAAGAGAGGAAAGACGATTTAAATGCAGGCGCCGTCATTACCGGCAGGTTAGCGCAGAAATTCCATTGAAAATACTGAGGTAAAATTACTTTCCATATTTTAAACACATGGCGCAGAAAAATAGAATTTAATGCAGTTCTTCTTGTTTGGTCTGATACCCAGTTCATTTTCGTATCTCAGCCAGGCAGTGAAGATCGCTGTTTATTAAAGAAATCGAATCTTAAACGCGGCGATTTTGTATGGGATGACTATTGACCGGAAGCTCTGAGACTGGCGGACTGAATTTAAAAGTCTGTGTGAATATACTCCCTTGAACTATAAATTTTTATGTTTATGTGAACTTTTACTTTTATGTTTCATTTAAGCATGGGCAGGTATAAGATTTGACGGAATGATAACCTTGGATAAAAGCATCACGGTTTCACAATATTGTGATCACTGCTCTAAAATATGTCTTGTTAAATTTCTGGGTAAAAAACAAAAGCTTTTTTTCCATTTTGGCCAGAGCACATTATATTTTGAGAAACTTTTAAAATATTTTGGAGCAGTAAACGTGTCAGGCTAAATGAATTATTGGCTTCTGCTGTCTTCATTTTGTTTTAAAAACAAAAACAGATATTTTTTACCATTTAAAACAGCATCTTTTCTGCTGGAGATATTGTCATCCTAAAAAAACTATTGTAAATAAAAAATCGTACACATACTTTAGGAATGGTATTGCAGAAGTTTTAAAACCTTGACTTTTCCAAACCATGGTATACCTTGAAAGCAGTAATCGCCCCGTGCCTAGTTGCATTATATAATTTTAAAGACATTATGGAAATCTTACTTACTAAGCCATCTTTAAAGAAGAGAACTGAGAAAATTCAACCTCAAAGATCTTTTAATTGTAAGACCAAAGAAACTGTAACAGCTCAACAACATTAAACAGAAATGCATCAGAAAAATTTTCCATATTGGATGACGTGCGATTTTATTTAATTTATTTGTTTTTGCATGCAGAGTTTAGTGAATGTTTTATTAACGTTACTATAAAAATATTTGTTCATATTTTTTATATCTCCATAATTCAGAAAACACTGCAGACAACTTGTTGTGTAGGTTTGTAACGAAATGTATATAATTCTAAATTAATATAATCAGCCAAATTATGCATAAACATATTCCACTGTGAAAACCTTTGGAATATAGATGTGAATAAAACTATGAAGTTTGGTCTATGTGGTTGAGAAATAGCATTTGAATAAATATTGCAATGTAAATTTAAGTGCGACACTGAATCTCACTCCATGAACAAAGCTCATTTTGAGAAAACCACATTTAAGTGCGATAAAAGCAATACTTAAAACAAGTTTTAAATATTTTCTTTACATTACACTGAATCTGATTGAGAAATTAGCATTTAAAAAAAGACATAATGTACTGTAAATCTAAATCTGACTCCATGGAGTAGGAAAAAACACACTTTGAGAAAACCAGATTTCATAAATATGTATGTGTGACAAAAGCAACTTAAAATGAGATGATTTCTTTACATCAGACTGAATAGACAATGTTAAAAGCCCCCAAAACTCCAAACACAACATTAACAGTGGCTGAAAAAGCCTTCAGTATCTCACCATAAGGTTATTAAGATCATAAATTCAAAGCAACTCTCGACTGTTCACGTCCACTGCAAACTCTTACAGATAGAAGTCCCTGTATGCATCACCATTGAAAGTGTGCCGATGTGAGGCAGACTTACCCGTCCAGGTGATTCAGGGGTGCAGGTGCAGCAGGAAGGCCTGTTTTTTCCTTCACGTTTCTGCTGGATTCTCAGAAGTGCCTCTAGTTTTTGGCCTCCTGCAGATTCAGGGAATGCGACAGGCTGATATTGTGCAGTGCCACATTACTAACCTCAATGACTAATACTGCGAGTGACAAGCGTGTGTGTGTGTGTGTGCACCTGATGTGGGTGTGCGCGAGACTTCAAGTAAGTTAGTGAAGGAATGCCTGCTTCATTGACTCCTGTGGCACTTTTATACACAGGCCTTATTAAGCTGTGTAAACATTGTCTCAGAGCCCCGTTCTCAGCCTGCAGGCATTGGACATGCCAGGCCGTTGTTGTGGACCACTAACCCTCCTCCCTCAATGAGGAAAGACACAGTTCCCAAAGGAACTGCTTGATTAAATGTCTGACATCCCGTTTTTAATCTGAAGTGACAACAGTTTTACGATATCATGCATATGATAAGAGGCAAATGTAGCAAGATGGCCTAGAGTCTCTTTATGAGGTTTTTAGTCAATTTACTGACTTTAGCCTTTAGCTCTTTTTATATTGTGCTATATTTAAATGAACATCTATATTAAAAATTATGTAATAATCAAATTATATTAAGAACATATTTATTAAAATATACATATTAAAATAAAATACATATGTACATTAAAACAGTATTTTATTGTATGTATGTATTTGTTTGTTGTGAAATACAGTAATATATATATATATATGGCATGTATATATATATATTTATGTGTGTGTGTATATATATATATATATATATATTCAACTGTATATATATATATACAGTTGAAGTCAGAATTATTAGCCCCCTTCAAAAAAATCTTTTCTCATTTCCCAAATTATGTTTAACAGAGCAAGGAAATTTTTACTGTATGTCTGATAATATTTTTTCTTCTGGAAAAAGTCATATTTGTTTTATTTTGGCTAGAATAAAAGCAGTTTTTAATTTTTTAAACACCATTTTAAGGTCAATATTATTAGCCCCTTTAAGCTATTTTTTTTTCATGATAATCTACAGAACATAAGTAGCAAAAGATTTAAAGTAGGTCGGCACACTGCCACTTTAGCTCTCAAAAAATTTTATTAGTCAAAATTACAAAAACACTACGTTTCGACCGACATGGTCTTCATCAGGTGTCGGTCGAAACGTAGTGTTTTTGTAATTTTGACTAAAAAAAATTTTTTGAGAGCTAAAGTGGCAGTGTGCCGACCTACTTTGAATCTTTTGCTACTTATGTTTGTTTTTTGATCGTGCACCTGCCTTCAAGATTTTTCTAGATGTGCGCACATTTCTGTTTTTTGCACAATCTACAGAACAAACCATCGTTATACAATAAATTGTCTAATTACCCTATCCTGCCTAGTTAACCTAAATAACCTAGTTAAGCCTTTAAATGTCACTTTAAGCTGTAAAGAAGTGTCTTGAAAAACATCTAGTCAAATATTATTTACTGTCATCATGTCAAAGATAAAATAAATCAGTTATTAGAAATGAGTTAATAAAACTATTAAGTTTATAAATGTGTTGAAAAAAAATCTTCTCCGTTAAATAGAAATTGGGGGAAAAATAAACAAGCAGTCTAATAATTCAGGGGGGCTAATAATTCTGACTCCAGCTGTATATATATATATATATATATATATATATATATATATATATATATATATATATATATATATATATATATATATAAGGCTTGGGCGGTATCCAAATCTTGATATCGTCGAACATCCACCCTATTTTACTTCATGATTGACTGATAGCCGTGCAATATTCTGCAATAACAACACGTGCACAGCCTCTTCACTCTTCTGTATTACTCCACCTACATAGAATGACAGCAGGTCAACCATAACCCTACCACTACAGTCTGACACATATTGCAGCTGTTGGACAACATAATGTACTTTTGAGGGTTTTCAGGCGAGAATGTAGCTGTTTAGATTGCAACTCTGCAATAAACTTTATTTATAAGGATAGTGCCTATTAGAAATATTTATGATTTTGGAGATTCAGTGCGTCGGCGGCCATTAGCCTGTCATTGAGCAGAGCAAAAAGGGTTGACGTTCCGCCACAAGATGACGACAGAGATCGCATAATACGTCCTCAGGAGAGTAAAACGCGAAAAAATGTTCAAATTACAGCTTATCAAATTATTTTAAAAATTGAAACTGTTTTTTTTTTTAATTTAAAAAACTGTACGTACTTACTGTACGTTCACACCGAAAGTAGGCGGAAGTCGTTTATTTTCAATAGCAAATGGAAGTCATTCATTTTCAATGGGAGCTGACGGCGATAAGTGATGTTTTGTTAACAAATTTTGGGAGGAGCATGCGCAGAAGTTTCAGTATCGAATACGTCATTGAAAATCATCCCATTATCAAATCAGTTCTGGAACAAACCCCTATATATACCAAAGCTGTCTTACCTGCAGCATCTCACGACGTTAGCATCTCTCCACCACTCCGTCACCTCACCTCTTGCATTGAATTCCCGGGGGGAGCGTTCTAGGGCTGGGCTAGATACTTTGCTCGAATCCCAACTCCTCTTTGTTTCCTGATAAGGGGGATAACTCGAGTTGGGGTGTCTCCTCGAGCTCAGAGCCCTCCCCCCCGGACAGCACGCCAAATATGCTTTACACTTCAACGAATGCAAGTGTGAACTCGTGAAGTGGCAAGGAGCAGTGTGGCGCATCTTCGCTGGTGTGGGCGTCAGGGAGAGTTGAAATCAAGTCAACTTTATGGTAATGAGCTACGATGTGTTTCGGCGACAAGTAAAAGTAATGTAGAAGTTCACTGCTTGATAGGAGTTCACTGTAAACTTTGATTCCGTCCACAGTTGTTCCCAAGAGTTTGAATATTGCGGTCGCCAGATTTCCAATTATTTCCAATGTTTTTCCCTACAGGAACAAACACTTAAAAGTTACTGACGAGTTACTGACGTGCATTAATGTTATACATATTTTTTTTCTTTAAAAAAGCGAGAATCTTATGCAACAATACAAAACAGTATTGCTGCTTCAGGATATTTTAGACATATGGACACATTCAATAAGTAAGTGGAGCAAGCCATAGCACATGCAGTTTGATCTTCCTGGTTTTAATTTATTTGATAAAAATTTTACGCTCTCGCCACCAGAGTTGAAGGCGACATCGTTGTCGCCAGGGCAGCCTGAGCAACCTTTGATGCTCTCACTGCTTTCAGTGTGAACGCACAGTTAACACAGTTCGATCTCGTTCTTTTGTATGTTGTAGTGCTGTATTTCTGTAATCTGCTAGTGTTTGCTTTGCATTGGTTTTTTCAGGCTTAATTACTGTGATCTCCCGATTGCAACTGAGAAATACTGGGAAATAGCATTTCATGTCGTTCGGCCTTATAATCTTAAAATGTCAGCAAAATTGCCTGTTTTGTCAGTTTAGACATTATGCTAGAGAATCATTGAAATAGTAGCTCTAAAGTGACGTAAGTGAAGTAGCAGCAGTTTCTGCTGTTCTGACTTCAGCTGCAGATGTGAATGAATGGCGGAAGAAAGTAGTTCCTCGTGTAAAATGATTCTTGAGGCTCCACATGTTTGATTTTCTTTTTTGTATACATGATTATGCCATCGAACTGTTGTATTAACGAAATATCACACTGGTAGCAGTGCAATATGGCTGTATATCAGCACTGGTGGGACATTAAGCGAATGCACGCCTCCCACCAATGCCAATATACAGCAATATTGCTCTGCTACTCGTGTGATATTTCGTTTAAAAATATTGAATAAAAAAATAAGTTTACAAATATAGTTTAATTATTACAAAATTATTATTTATTATTAAATATTCTGTTTATTGTTTTGTGGTATCTACATAATGTATTAACAATATTATAATTAAATATTGAATAACATTAAAGATAATGTAATCATATTAAATATATATATATATATATATATATATATATATATATAATTAAATATTTGTTGTGGGTTAGGGTTAATATAAACACTAATTAATGTACAGTTGACATGTTTTGTTTTTAAACTACATGTTCATATATTGTTTGGATAAAGTAAACCGAAATGGTAGAAAACATAATAAATAACATTTAGCTTGTAATGAATTCTATGCTTATACAAACTTTACAATAAAAAATATCATTATTTACAGCCTTTTGGAAACTCGCGGTTGTTTGTCTAAATTTATCAAGCAATGAAAATGTACTTTAAATAGAAATAATTACCCTTTTCATACTTACAGCCTTCAATATGTACAATTGCGTTTATACAAATATCTCACAGCGAACACAAAGGTCATTTTCTGATATTTCAGTGCGTTTGAGAGAGTGAGAGTTTATGCTTGCGTCAATGTGCTGATGATGCGTCTGCAAGCACACGGCATTGCCACAGTGTTTGCACAGTTAAACAGACACACCAATGCAAACCACACACACATATACTTAATACAGACTTTATTGATAACAGAACTTTAAAAGGACGAGTGAGAGAAACACTATAGCAGACCATCATTAAACATAGCATTCAGCAGACTTCCTACCTGATATGCTGTTAGAAAAATTCAGTTTCAGTAAAAAGAAAAACTAAAATAAATATAAAAGTGTAACAATCTGGCAATTTTACAAGAAAAAAAATCTTAGAAATGGATTTTATCCTTCCAAAAATGTTTATTGCTTTACAAAATCATCTCTCTACACATATGAGTTTCACACGTTTGAATAGGATAATCCTTCAGATTATTAGGAAACAAATTGGGAAACTAGTGGAATGTCTTGCTCCAAACAAAGGTTTACTTTGCACTCCTTCTCTGTATTTTTGTTTGTCTAGTGCATTTCCCAGAGGGCGTTCATTTGCATGGCAGTTAGAAAGACCGCAGGTTTAAGATGAGCTCTTTTCACCGTCTTACATTGAAACAACTTTCTCATGCACTAGATAACCATTTAAGGACCGAAAGGTTACAGCCAAAGGTGTCCGTTTACGATGAAGTTCAGTTGAGCCATTTGTCAGAACGCGCACACCTAAAAGTCACTGGATGCTGTCAATGGTTCATTGTGAAGGAGAATTTGTGCACATGAAAGTTTGAGTTGGGTTCAGTCCGTAATCCGTCTGACTTCTCTATGATGGATGTGGAAAGCATTAGGAATAGTGCCTTTTGGGCATAAGTTTGTTTATGCATCAATGCACCTTTGTAAAAAAGCTTTCAATTAGTAAGTGTTG